CATTTCTGTTGCTGTTGGCCAAAATACTTTACATTTGACACTTACCTTTAAATGACATTAAATAATTTTATAAACCTGGTGCTTGCTTTTAAAAAGAAAATTACTTTTAAGATCTATTCCTTAAAGTGAGCGATATAAGGCCATCATGGCCCCCTTGTATATATATTTGATTTATTTTCATGGTGGGGTATGAAAGTAAATATTCAATGTGTGGCGCTAGCCACAAATGAAATATGTAAATTTTCATATCACATGATATGACACACAAGAATCACAAGAATTTTCTGGTTACTATTTACTGGTAGGGACATTTTCTTTTTTTTCTGACGTTTTAACTTGAAAAACTACATTTTTGTGTTTGTTGATAAATTTCTTTGTAATAGTATCAAGACACCAGTTAAAATGTGATAAATATGTTTCACTGCAGTGAAAAAAGTTTTTTACATTGTAAATAAAGATAAATGAAAATACACATGCTATTAATAAATATCTCTCAATATTTCATCTAGAGTATTTATTTGTATATAATAAACACTGTTTCGGTATTAAACATAACATATTTTATCTAGAAAATGATAAAATGTTATATAATCTCTTACCTTAAAATACTGCTAACTCTTTTCTTGTATAAATAGGAACATCTCTGTCAGGAACATCTATGTTTTTTGTCAGTTTTGTAAACGGAACTACTGGTCAGTTCTAGGAATCAGGGGTGGACATTGATAATCAATTCAAGAAGAATCTATATCAGGCCAATCCAAACTATTTTTCTCATTTGTATGTATTGTAATAAAACTATAATATTTTTCCCCATTCTCATTCAATTCTTGATATCTTTATTTCATTTTAATCTAAGGCAAATTAAAATAAAACACTTTTAGTGCACCCCCACTGATCTGCCCCTGGGTGAAGATTATCTCAAGAGATGACATCATAAGATATGATATGACATCATCATGACTCTTGTACATTAATAAATTTAAAAACAATTTCTTATTTCACATAGATTAGTTTTGCATTGAAATCTTTATCTTAATAAACTATGCAATTTAGTATTATTTCTAAATAAACATGAATAGTTATGTTAGCAGTTTAATTTGTTCATAAAAATCATACCAAAACTCTAAAAAGAATTGGGGAGAAAAAAACAACAGAAATTTTAAATTAAATTAAATAAATATGTACAATGCAAAACTACTCGTGATTTTTTTTTTATTTTCTATGATTTTATTTGTCTCTCAGGTAAATATTGTATTTACGTTGCTTTGACATAATTGTGAAGAATTGTTTAAAAAATATGAACATAGTCTACTTAACAATTATAGTTAGATTTTGTATCAATGCGTAACTAGTCTATGTGCATCCATGTGTTAAACATGTGTTGGAAAGGGACAATTTTAACACATTATGTGGGTACTATCAAGACCTCTCAGAATCTCAGAGTCTGATAGACTAGTTTCACGTTGGTCCCTCGCAATGTATACTGAACCAAACAAGAAACTTTCGCAAAGTATGTGCCAGTTGTTTAAGTGTACCACTTAGATGTACACACATATATACATGTAGTAGCTTGTAAAACTTATTTTATTTGCAAAATCGGTCAGCTAATCCCCGTATAAAAGCCCGATATGTTTATTCAACGTAAAAATCGAGTTTCACGTGCGCGTAAGGGATGGGCATATACGCTCCACGTGGTGCATATTTGTCTTTACCAAGATATTGCAATAGTCGTAAAGCTGTAGTAAAAAAACGACAAACCTTTTTAATTGAAGTTTTGTATTGAAATTTCAATGCCAAGAATTCCCGAAAATTTACGTGAGAGGGCCTTGGGCATGCTTGAAGCTGGGTGCACAACTTCAATGGGCCCTAGGACACATACTGGACAAGACAGTGTTGGCGGACAATTCTTTTTACTGATGAGTCAAGGTTTGCATTGTCTCGAGCTGATGGCCGTGTACGATTATACCGACGCAGGAATGAACGTTATGCCGACTGCTGCGTACTGCAACGGGATCGTTTTGGGGGTGGGGGCTCAGTTATGGTGTTGGGCGGTATTGCCTACGGGTATCGAACTCCGCTCGTCGTTATTGACGGCATTCTAAATGTCCAAAAATACAGGGAAGACATTTAACGTCCTTATGTTGTCCCTCTGCATCAGACCCATAACGTAATAACGACGTTACAACAAGATTATGCCACATTCCATGTTGGTCGTGTCAATATACAGTATTTACAAAATCATAACGTAACTTTCATCGACGACTGGCCCTCAAAATGTCCGGATTTGAACCCAATTGAACATCTTTGGGATAGTCTGGATAGACGCGTACGTCGACGTCCGAACCCTCGAAACAACATCAACGACATTCGAGCAGCATTGCTTCAAGAATGGAATAATATTTCACAGGCTGACATTAACAAACTTGTGCTCTCAATGCGACGTCGCATTCAGGCAGTCAGCATCGAACACCGCGGTCACACACGCTACTGATTGTTAACTTTAGAAACGACCCTTACCTTATTTTAATTTAAAATTCAACAATCAATCTGATCCTTTCCTCCAAAATGACGATTTTAAAAGAACCACAATGCATTATTTTACAAAAATGTAAGCTTTCAGCCAAAAGGATTGAAAAACTGTGCTAACATATCTACATTAAAACTTAGCGAAAGTTTCATTTTTGTTTCAGTATAGTTATTTCATATGTTTGTACATTTTATTACTTTTCATTGAAATTCATGAAAAATTTCGATGAGAGAAAATTGTTCATCTATTATACAATTAGGACAGAGACAAAGTGATGTTTTTGGATACGAACGCTGATTTTAGCTTGCGTATGCAAATGACACCAAAATTGTTTAGTATGCAAATTAGGTGGTTTGAGGTTACAAAACAAAATAAATATGTCATAATATTTCATTCTTAGAACAAACATACAATTCAAATCAATAAATAATGCATATCAATTAGTCCATTCAACAACTTTGCCTCAGAAAACAACTGTATAAATCTGACCTGGAGTTGAGATTATAAATAGAACTGAACCGAAAGTATGACAAAATGACCGCCATGCACAAGACAATTGAGACAATTTGTAACAAAAACCCGTATTTCATAACAAAGAAGTGAAGATGAAAACAATTTTCGGTGTGCTTCGTTAAAACAGGTATTTTGTTACCTATTTGTGAAACAGTCTGCCACGTGAAATTTTGACCTCACTGAGATCCCTACTGTTTGTTGTTGTTGTTTACTTTTTTTTAAACATTTGACAATATTTAATTTTACAATTAAACCTGTGTATAGAGTCACTCATGTGAATAGAAAGAAGGTTTTGTAGAAAGGGATGTTCTAATTTGATAAACCACAGATGCTTGGGGGTCAGATCCTGCCCCAATCATGATACCCCTGAGTAAAAACATGTCATTAGTCTGGAATTTAAATAATTCGCAGTCAAAATTATATAAAGAGTATGCTTGCTAAGTATTCATTGAATATATTCCACATTCACCAATGGCAACAGCATTACAAAACCGTACGGGTCCAATCATATATATATATATATATATATATATATATATATATATTATATATATATATATATATATATTGCATGCATAGAACTGATATTTTTCTCAAATATAGCACAAATATTCAAGGCCAAAAATTTATGTGCCATACTGAGCAATCTTAGTATCATACGTTTCAATGATGGTAACATTTGGCTTTATTAGCATTGTTCCTAATCATCTTTTAAAAGATGATTGTCCGATAACAGATTGTAGTTGGCTATTTTACGTCTCGTTTCCATGGCGGGATAAATAACAACATTTCCATATACCAACATCTTAGACTTTTCTATACTTACTGATAATTATTATTTCTAATCATAACAATATGTAATTAAAATATAAACATTTGACAGTATCAACAGCCAAAGCAAAAATCGCAGCAAAGTGTAAAAGTGTGATGTGTACAGTGTTCCGTATGTTCTATACTCAAGAACAGTTGGCTAGAACATCATGTATACATTTATTATTCGTGTATAGATAAAAAAATAAAAACAACAACACAACATTGTGATTAAATTACAGTCCGGACGTTCCTGAAAAAAGATCATTAAAAGTTGTATATAGAATGAGTTATTTCACAAGCTTTGATTGAATTATAGGGGGTTTTGGTTTTAATATATTAAATACCTGATGGACAACCCTTTTGTAAGACAATTCATTTTATAAGGATACATACAGTGTGCGTGGGTTGTGGGTTCAAGTCCTTCTGATTTTTAAAAAACTTGATCTCTTTTAACATTTCGTCTGCTATATGATTTATTTATCTATTTATCTATTTTTGAAGTAAGATATATTTTACATCATTTTTATTTAAATTCAGATGGTAAAGGTCCTACATTGTTTGACCTATGAAGGGTAATATATGACTTTTTATCAATGCATCATTCAACATCTTATTTTAATCAAAAGGAACCATATTTAAAGCTTTTTCAATGAATGGCCAATTTTACATCTTATTGATCCCTTAATTAATTGACCAATTAAACCATGTCAATACTTACGACCTTAAAGATTCATCAATGATATCAAAAGCCATTTTGAAATGAGTCCGATGTACTCAAATATTCATCCTAATCCCTATGTTATTATGTTAAAAGAATAGGGATTACAGTTTCTACCTGCTAAGACGAATAGGGAGAGTATCGGGTTCGATCGAAGGGTCTTCGGTCTTCGGATATTAAGTCTTATGGTAATGTGTTTCTCTTACCAATGTCACTTGCAACAAAAAGGTATGTATTGATTCATTAACAAAGAAAGCCGATTATATGGAGGGAACGTCGAAATATGGCCAAAGACAATGTGTTAAAATCGACATCCAGAGAATCCAAACAAAGACAGTCTGATTATCATCCTTTATTGTAATGTTAACATAATTAGTATTTTGGTACTTTTTATTAAAAATATAAGAATGATAATTATTTTAAATCCAGGTTTTAGCTACGAGAAACATTTATGGGTTATTCAAAAGTCGAACTTACCAAGAGGACATGCCTTGTCATCCAAACCATACCCACCTGATTAAGAATACAAATTATACAGAACTTTGTAACTTGACTTATATGAACTCCGGTATGCCGTTTTATTGTGGAAAACCAAAGAATGGACATTTGCTGTGCCAAGACTGGGAGAAAGTACGGACACATACACCTTATCCTGAACTTCAATTAAGTGATTGTGAGGACAGATTATTAAAAAGGTAATACTACGTCATTGTAATTTATTTGAAATGAAAGTGTTTTGGTCAACTATACTAAACTATTCTGCATCACAGATTGCTGGTTGTGGAATTACTTTATCTTGATTGTATTGTGCAGTACCCTGCTGGGCTTTTTGTTTTTAATAAGGAAATAAAATATATTATTGAAATAATTATTACAAAAGTGCCACCTCGTAAATTTGTAAAGGTTGATTGCACACTTTAGTGTCGTTGGGTTATTAAGATGTATTAATTACTAGCAAAGTCTACTTGAACAGCCAATATTTCTGTGTAATTTTTTAACAGTAAAGTGAGTCAATGTCCGCAACTTTAAAACAACATTTAAGTGAAACCTACGGCAGGAAATATTACAAATAAACAGAAACAATTTACTAAGTACAATTTTTTGTTAAAATATATCAGAAAAAATAAAATCTTTTTAACAAATATGTGTGTTTCTTGTTGTTATAGACACTTAGTCCTGGCGAGATTTAACATAAATATTGTAATTGCTTATATTCTGTTTGCATTATAGAGGCCAACGGACACTGGAACACAGATTAAATGTTTTGGTAAGAAACGAAGACAAGACAAGACTTACTATTGAAAAACCATCAATACCTTGTTCACAATACAACATCACAAAACTTTGGCAATCGAGAAATGCAACAGGGTTTTTCTATAAGGGGAAATGGAACTTCAGAAATTGTTTAGGTAAAATTTATGAATATTGATTATATGTTTTAATGGTTAAAATGAAAATTACAACTTTGTCCTAAAGTAGAGAAAATGTGTTTGATATCATATGACCAGTTATTATTGAATTTCAAATAGTCAGCATTGAACACTGTCATCGTGATGCGCCTATCATTCATCATTATCAGTCTATTCAAAATTTGTAATATATTACCCCCCGCCTGTAAACGCTAGATAACCATCCAGTATCTCAGGCCATCGCCAGAATAGGTGTGAAACGGTGAACGCCAAGGAAATACATCATTGCTTTATTCTGAACATTGTCTCTTAAAACCCCATCTGAAGAGCAATAGTCTCCTTTTGAATGCTATGATGAAATACTTAAATATTTCATATTTGGAATAACGGAATCTTGTCGGGCCAAGGTTCCTAATTTGTTAGTATTGTGTTATTATTAGTAACGACATTAGAAAAATATTAATATAATTTATATAATATTAATGTTATATATGAATGCAACCAAATTAATTTAAAAAAGTAGAATAGTACATAGATCAGAGTGCGTAGATTAACTTAGCATGCGAAGTTAACATTATAACTAAAGCATCATGGGAAGGTGTGTACTTAGTATGTAAATCAAATACTATTACATATTTTCTCTTTTACAAAAGCAAGAAGATATTTACAGTCTTGTTCAGTTCAGCATACTCAATTTTTAAAAAAAATGATGACTAAAATATACTAAAAAAAAACAAATCATGATCTCAAACTCACAACTGTCGGGAAAAAAAGATGTTACTGTTAATAACATACATTTATGCACAGTCTTACAATTTCTACCGTTTGTATATTATGTAACATAGTACTTGTATTTCACTTGCAGACGAATAACTCGACCTGATCTGTTTTTAATTTCTGATTGTTCACCAGTTGATTAAGCGGGGGGTTCAACGGGACATAACTCATTACTGCTAACATTCGTAGGTAAATCGAATTTCTTCCCTTTCCTTCTCATTGAAGTGATCGTTAGTTTTGCGAAGCTGACCACGTTTTCGATTTATTAGCGTACCATTCTCCTTTCTTATATCATATGAACGTGTCTTTGGCTTTCTACCAACAATGCCCTCTTCCCGCTGTTTTTTTTTTTTTTTTCGTTCCTGGGGTTGTATTCTCATAATTTTACAGGTTCTTAAACGACCTAACGACTTTGCATTTCTGTCGTAATAACGCTTTTGCCTTTTTTTTTACTTCTGTCAAGATTCTCTTTAATATTTAATGGTATGCTCGGTTTAAAATTCAAATATCATTCCGGATGTTCTAGTTTTCCTGTTCATGAGTTGCTGAGTTGGACTGTATTTTGTCGGTTGTTGGGGTGTGTTCTGGAAGTTCAATATCGTTACTATTGGATCCGTGTGAGAATGCTTAGCCTTTTTCATGATACGTTTTGCCGTTTTTACTGCGCTTTCCGCCTTTCAGTTAGACTGCGGATATCTAGCTGATGAAAATATATGTTTGAAGTCCCATTTTCTTTCAAACGATTTTAATTTCTCAGATTTAAATACACTTGCTTGATCGGAGACAAGACGTTCTTGAATTCCATGTCTAGCAAATTGTTGTTTCAGTTTGCCATTGATTTCTTTCTAGTTTGATTCGTATAGCCTGTAAATTTCAAAGAAATTAGTAATATATTCAACAGTGACAAAATAATCTTTTTCCATCAAACATAAAGACATCCGTTCCAACTTTAACCAATGGCCTATCCGGTATATCATGATTGATCAATGGTTCTTTTGTTTATTTTCTTTCTAAAGATTGGCAAGTGTCACACTTAGTGATGTAATCCTTCATTTGCGATCTCATATTTGGCCAGTGCACACATGATCTTGAATGAATTTAACCTAGAATTTCTGACCGCATACTTCTAGGTATGACACATCTATCTTCGCGGCGAAATATGATACCATTACCCTCTGATAATTCATCTCTAACTGCAAAGTATGGAGAAAGCTCGTTAGGATGGACACCGTCCCAACCATGATTTATGCATCCGATTAATTTCTTAAAAGTCGGATCCTCAGAAGTTTCTTGTTTAATACGTGCTTGTATTTGAGGAGACACCGGTAGATAATCTGACATATCACAACGTTAGATAATCTGACATATCAGTGGATTCGATTTCTTTCTCGTAATCTGAAAGTAATACGTCTTCGAGTCATGTAGCTTTGTCCTTGGTCAGATATGATCTAAATAGTGTATACGCAATATACATAGGTTTGCCATTATTTTAACAAATTTCACAGTCATATGCTCCTAATTTTAGAAACATTTTTTGTAATCGTTTTGGTGCCTTGTACAAACTTTTCTTACTAATAATTTCGAATGCTTTACGGTCATTTTCAACAAAATAATTTCTTCCATATGTAAATTGATGGAATTTGGTAATTCCGTACAGGATACCTAATAGTTTCTTTTCTATCAATGCATAATTCCTTTCTTCTTTTGTTAAGGTACGGCTTGCATATGCTACAGGCTGTCCTTTTTGTAACAATACACGTCCAACGCCGGCTTCTGAGGAATCCGTTTGAAGAGTAACTTCCTACTCTGGGTCAAAATATCGTAGTACAGGAACATCGCAGCCTGCCTGTTTTAGCGTGTCAAACGCTTCATCATGGACTTCTATCCACTGAAATACTGCATCTTTATGCGTCAACTGTCTTAACGCCTCACATAGTTCACTTAGTTTATCTTAGAACTTCGTAAGGTAGTTAACGAGGCCTAAAAAACGTTGTAAAGCTTTCTTGTTTGTGGGTCTTGGCATGTTAATAATTGCATCTACTTTAGACGGGTCAGGTGTCACCCCTGTGTCTGTCAGCAAATGTGCAACAAACGACATATCGGTTTTGTGCAACTGAAATTGCTCTTTATTTAGCTTGATATTTATCTCTTGGCATCTTTCAAGTTGTTGTCAAGATCGCGCAATGTTTCTTCGTAAGTTTTACCCTTTCCATAAATGATTATTTCGTCTGCGATCGCTTTTATACCCAGTAGTCCTTCCAAATTCCATTCCAGGTATTGTTGAAAGTGGCATAATAAGCCAGCAATATCGTCCGAATGACGTTTCAAGTAATGTTGTCAAATAGCTTGACTGTTCATCTAGCTCCACATGATGAAAAACATTTTTTACATCGCATTTTGAAAATATTTTTGCAGAATTATGTTCAGACAACACATCTGCAACCACTGGCAGCAGACTTTTTTCAAAGCAACTTTCAACAATTTTGGATCTATACATATTGTAAGCGCATTTGATATTTTCTTCACAATTACTAAACTTGATATCCAGTCTGTTGGAGTGTTAACTTTTGTTATATTACCCTTTCATTGCAATAGGAACCCTTCTGAGTGGCATTTTCACATGTTTCACTGTATCATCAAATTCCAAGTGTAGGTTTCCCCGAAATCGTCCTTCGCCCTCAAATGCCGACGAATAACTCGTTTCAATTTCTTCAATAATTGATTTAGAGTTCTTATCAACACAGACGGGACAAATTAATTCTCTGAATTGCCTCAGATCCTAATAACGAAACAGCCGTATCATTTTCAATGACGATAAACCGCACCTCATATCGTTTTCTTGTCCTGGGATTTTTCAAAACTAATTGCACGTACCACATGGTTTCATTTTTGATTTGTTATACATTGATAACGTAATGTTAGTTTTCTCCTTTATCTCTTCTGGCACGTACAACCTTGGCAAAATATTTGCCGTAGCTCCGCCATTGAAAATCTAATTCTAAATTCTTAATCTAATTGAAATCTCACAGTTTTGTTTTGATTAAATAATAACATGTTAGCGAACATTTTCGACTGCACCTTTTGATTTTGATTAAACAACAAAACGTCCTCGTCACTTTCTGATGAAGAGATCAAATTTAAATGTCTCACAAGTGGTCTTTCTGATTGCACTTTGTGATGTTTACGCTTTATGCAATCCGAAGCAAAATGATTAACTTTGCCACAAGACCTGCACTTTTGTCCAAAAGCCAGACACTTTCCTTTAGCACATTTTGCGATTTGGCTTTACGACTTGCACATCTTCGCATGGAGATGCATGCTTAGACAACGACTTGACTTTTGAGGATGATGCTTCTGCTGCTCTGCAAATGGCAATACATTTATCTAGGGTCAATTTATCATCCTGTAGTAATCGTTTTCGAAACCCATTATATCGAATGCCAGAACTAGCCTATTAGTTATTAATTCATTCTCTAAGTCACCATAGCTGCATGTTCTTGCAAATTCCCTACTTTACTAATATAAGTGTCGAATGTTTCTGTCTCACCTTGCACGCACGTGTGGAAGACGTAACGTTCGAATGTCACGTTGGTTTTGCCAACACAGAACGTATCGAAATTACTCAATGAAAATGTCGATATCGTCTTTGTCTGTTTCATCTTCAAAGTCAAACCCGTCAAATATATCTATTGTGTCAGGCCCTATGCATGTAAAAAATGTTGCTGCTCTTAGATCCTTTGATTTGAAATTAAGTCCAGACGCCTTCTCGTAATTAATCCAGCCACGTCTGAATTTCTTCCAGTTTGTTGAATGGAATCAACGACGGCACAACATTCGATTGGTGTGCAGCGGGTGATGGCAGTTTGGTCCGTTCATCGGCACTCATAATTGTGCTGATATGTCCAAATATTAAACTTTTGCACGCAAATTAAAAGATTAATAAATCTACCACTACACGAACTATGCTATAAGAAAAGTGTCCCCTTTAGTCATTTTTACATATAAGCAGTCTTCTGATACCATGTTTCTTGGTACAGGTAAGAACACAAACGTGCGTTTATATATTTTATCAAGCTAGTCACAACTCATTCATACAGAGCTAATACATAGAGCAGAGTGCGTATATTTACTAAGCATGCGCAGTTAACTTTATAACTAAAGCATCATGGGAAGGTCTGCACTTAGTATGTACATCAAATAGTTACAATGACACATGTTAAAAAAATAAGCTCTCACTAATGGGTTTGAAAGGAATGTGATGAACATGATTCTTCAACTCAACTCTGTTATTACTTTTTTGCCGTTCGTTATTTATTTAGAAATGTCATTACATCTTTCAACTATGCCATTATTTATAAGAGGTTATGTTATTTGTGTTGGTTTCACGTGATAATAAATAAAGGTATCACTTTCATTATCATTCATATCGTATGCCTCAACAGATATTGTTTGTTTCTCTTCCCACAAAATGTGGATATGGAAACATGAATAATTGTAAAACTTATTCTCATTGAATAATATTAAGAAACTTCATAAGGAAATTTTTATCACACAGCAGGGTTAAAGTAATAACAAATTTGCTTCTTTTATTTAACAGGTTTCCAGCAAACCAACGACGCCAACTGCTTAAAGGACAGTCGTTTATACTTGATTGGTGATTCGACTTTAAGGGCATGGTATACAAGTATTATCAAACGTTTTAAATGTCTCCCAACAACAGAAAAATGGCAGAATGAAAAATGGCGCAAGATGGCGGAGTGTTTAAATAAGAAGCTTAGTTTTAGAGCAGGCTGGTACCCGCATGCGCAACCATTTTTTGTTGGCAATGATTGGGATGTAGTTCGGTACACATTATATTCAACGTCTCGGCGTATAGACAATATACCACCAAATGAACGTGCAATAATTGTTATTCAACTATTTATGCATTTTGTAGCATTTCATCATAGTGTGTTTAAGCAAAGAATGGAAATAATACGTCCTAGTATAGAAAGACTTTTTTTAAAGAATAAAAAAGCTATTGTAATGATTAAAGGTCCACATACATTTACAAATACACCAGCTGGAAATGTAAGACTTAGTGATTATTTTGGTTTCGTGTATAGCAAAATCATTTATGAAGTATTTGATGGTTTACTTGACCGGATTGTTTTACTAAATAACAAAGACACTACCATAGCGAGGCATGAGAAATGGAACCATCCTCCAGACGATATTGTGAATTATATGATAGATCAGATGCTAGATTATGCTTGTACAAATTAAGTTATGGAAATGTTTAAGTCATATCAATGAAAGTAACGTGTTTTGTCATAAAACGCTATATGTTTATTATATCTATCACATAGATCGCGACGCAGGAGTCAAATATAGCCATTTAATAATCAAAGGGCTGCAAGCTCTGTAGTATTTTCTGATCTTTGCAATCTAAATAGTACTGTATATCTGTATGTAGTTCCCTGTAAAGTTTATTCTATGCACTGTTATTCATCTTGCGCTACCAAAGTTTGATACATACGGAAATTTGCACAACTAGATTTGCTCCGAAAATCATTTATGACAGCCACACTTTATTCTTGCATATCGTGGCTATTTCCTTAACAAAGGAACTTAATAAAAACAAATAGTTTCATCGAATGGGATTTGAACCCCAGACCTTTGACACACTGAACGAGCGCGTTATCCCTGTACAACGGAGAAGTTATACGAAGAACGCCTAAATAAAATCAAGTAATACTAAATTTAGAATTTCCATTGCATTTCGGGTTTGCAATCCTTATTATTTTCGAAACCTGTTGTTTAACATCTGTATAAATAATTTAGCAAAGATCTCCTCGCCAAAACAGTCCGACATGTATATATATTCCACTACTCGACAGTCAATACTACAGTTAAAAAGTGGACCAATGACCATTAACGTAGATCATGGATCAATATTATTTTGAGATTTGAAATAACTGAAACTCAGTAATGAGAAATAAACAGTATTTTAAAAGCGTTATGATCGGATATGCAATTACTAAGCGACTCACCAGTTTTCATATTTCATAAAAAATATACTATGCTCATCTTTTGGTAAACTATTTTTATCTTAGAAATGCATTGAAATCCATGAAATTCTTACTGAATATGTTAACTTTGAATAAAATAATGAATAAACTATGTATTAGAAGCTACATTCCCTATTACGGGTCAAGTAAAATTGGTATTTGCTTTAAAAATGCCAGTTTTTTCAATGACACTATATATTCATATGGTGACTACATGTAGAGTTCAAAACATATCATATCTACCTTGAATGAATTCCAAACATGTTTATTTTATACATACAAAGAGACTGTTTAGCAATTATTAATATTTTTAAAAATAAAATTTGAGCATAGGATATCTTTAAGTAAGAAAAAATAACGTGTCTCGTCAAATAAGAAAATGTCAAAACAGCAAATTGAATATGTAAAACATATAATAGGTAAATTGTAAATGCTAATTTGACAGTATGTATTTGCTTTTTTTTTATTATACATACAGGTAATTTAAACATGCCATAGCTTTTAAGTAAATCCAAAATTGGTTTATATCATTCATGCTTTAGAAGGGTTGACAGATATTAAATTGTACCTGACTGATATAGTTACTGTTCTCGCAAAACGATCTCTAGTTACGACAATTTTAATCTGCATCTAGTAATTTTGAATAAAGTGAAACGTGTATGCAACACAATAATCGGTATGCTTACTATAATTCCTAGATATATATTATGGTATTTAAATACCATTATTTCCCACACAGTATTAAAATGGAGAACAGAATGTATGCGTAAATGCTACAGCATTACTACAAGTAACGATGTTCTGTTAAATTAATCATCTAATATCTCTCCAATCTCAAAACCGGACGTGTTCTGGACCTCCCTCCTAGATTTGGATATTATATATTTTTGTTCAACCGGTGCCTTACAATTGCACTTATGAAACTGGCTCACCTATCTTACTGACATAAAACAAAGGGTTAATATTTGGCCTTAAATGAAAATGTAAACGTGTAGCCAAGTTATCGATCATATATAATCCTGTCATTAATTGTGATTCATTGTATTTAGTGTTTGTAAGTATAATTGTTCAATAGGATTATAGTATTTTAATGAATCGCAACACATTTCTTTTCGTAAATCGACAAACTGTCAATCAGTCCAGTTTATTTATTTACATAAACAAAATAAAACACTAAGCTGGTTGAAATTTATAAGTGCGTATTAAAAAAAATAAATTGGTCGCGCGGCCGCGGCGCGCCGTCCAAATTAATTGTGTAAACACGTACTTATAAACTTAAACCAATACTTAATGCTATTTTCGTGAAGGAAATGTTGGTAAAAGCATTTTAGCTTCAAAGGAAACGTAAACAATTTTTTCAAACACATAAACTGTTGTCTTAATTGTCGAACTCCCTAATGTAACATATTTCCAGCATATGTGTCAGTTATATTTGGCAATTGCATGTAAAACGTATAATTGACTGGAAATAAACATTATATCAATCAAAATATATTAGTAACTGTTAGGATAAACTGTGTGTAGCGCATACTAAAAACTGTTATTTTATTTGTCGTTTAACACTATGATTGATAGCCTCAGTCTTATCAATTCATGTAACGAATGATACATTTTCTAGAATTTAAAATGCAAAGGAGGTCTCTGACCACTATCCTTGTAATATGAAATTAATGACAAATAGACAGAAACGCGTTGGTTTGTTTCATCCGAGGTTTTATGCAAATAGAAGAAATATAATCATTGTTGTTTTAAGACAATATATAAATAGATTCAATATTCGATTTCCTTAGGTGTTTGGCCTTTTGCATTCCTCCAACAATGTATGCTGGTTGAAAAAGGAGGCAGCTTTGCAGACAATGATTTTCGTCTGCGAGGAGAAAAAAAATCTATGATAATAGATGAATCTGCAGTGCACACTAAAAGAGTTAAACAACATCATGTGCCATAATTTAATACAATCAACAATATTTCTTCGTAGAATAATATGGCCTTACATATTTTAATATGCTTTGTAAGCTAAATGCTTCCAACGCCAATAATGCCACTTTACCTCTGTCAGGAAAAATGACTGCCTTGTGTTATTTAATCTAAAAACAAAATTAGCCATAAATACTAGAATCAATTTCCAAGATATGGAGGCTAGGCAGCACCGCCTGACTTAAGATTGAAATATTCTCAGTTAGTAAACTAACATGTAATTGTTTAGATAACACTATTTTTAATGTATTTATATCTGTTTCCATCTCAAGTCAATCTATACATTTAAACAACAAACCCTGATTATTATTTGCACCCAAAATAAAGAATTTTGATTATTATTTACACCAAAAACAAACACACATTATTTATCAACCACTTATACGAAATATCTTTCACGTATACGTCTTTTATACGAAACAATACTAGACAACTGGCGAGCCCAAACTCTAAACATCTAAGATCAAACAAAACAATAAAATAACCACAAAATGAAGAACACAGAAATTACTATTTTTACAACTCTAAAATACACTATTCACCATAAACATTCAACCAACAATATGAACTTCACAAACTCTAATCAGCATCAGAAAAGCAAACTAAAGCATCTCATATTTACATACATCCTCAAAAACAAAGCATCAACTAATATAATCTTGACCAGACAAACATTCAACCAATTTCAACCAGATATTTATTACCAAACATATTCTATTTTGTATATGAATGAATTTACAATCAAATAGACACAATCCATTTCACGATTAATCTTATATAGCAGGTTTGAAAAGTAATTTGATATTTTTTTCTGGTCTCCTTAGCGCATGTTGAATAGTTCGAAAATAATATATAAAGACTTTCAATGAAACATTCTTATTTCAGTAGCGTGGTCTTTAATTGCCCCCTGACAACACTGATTTATTGTTGGACTATTATTCAAGCTATCATGTTGACTTTTCGGTTGAAATACAGCAAATGATGTACAACTGGTATCCCAAAATATTAGGGGAACCAAAAATTTGTCACCCTAGTCCAGTGGTCGCCCTAATGCATGAAAAAATGTATATATTGTCGACTTAAAGTACAGGATATATACAGGAGTTTAGTGCATTTTTACCCATTAGGGAGAAACACGCCATTAAGAAGCACGGCACCTTATAATAATTTCTTAATTAATCAAATCATTTTTATTTTTATTACAGGAAATTATTGTTTATACATAAACCTGTCTAACTAAAAAAAAATTAAGATCAGACCATATTATCTATTTTTTATGTTTTTTTTAGAAATGGACCTGATATGTATGGTTCAAAACTACCCATTAGGACGACTTTTCATATATGATCGATTTATTTGTATTTACTAAATATATATGTTGACAAAAACCTATTTACAGAAAAGATATTGATTTTATGTATAAGCATGTGTATTTTTCTGCATTTTTTTTCTTAATTAAGAAAGATATTTACATATATATTTCGGGTCTGTTTAAAACTTTCTAAAACGATAATAAGAACGGAAGTTGAACACCGCTGTAACAACATTGATACCGCAGTTGATGCTAGTTAAAATTAGAAAATGTTATGAATCGACTTAAAGGTAAGAATGAATATGGGCGGGAAATTTGTATTTACATTGATTTTTGCATAATTAAGTTTTTAACACCTTGAAGCTGAAAAAGTCTGAATGATAGACCGATCTCACCAATAAATGAATAAAATAAGATGAAAAAAAAAAAACTTTTTTATGAATGAATTTTAAAATTACTTTTTTTCATCTTTATTTTAGCATACTTATAAAGTTTTCTTATTATTATGTTTTAGTAATTAATATAAAAATCTATAAGAAAGAAACTTAATATTTAATAATTAATACTAAATATTAGTTAACAAATAAAACTTCTTTTTTAATTGTTATGTATAACATAACTTAAATGATAGTATTATTTGTGCAATTACTAATTGGATTTATAGTTATTTACATGGCAAATATTTTCCGGGGAGTATTCTCATAAATTCCTAAATGTTTCTTATTTTATGATGGTAACTAAAAAATAAATTATATTGCAAACATGCAATACTATAAATCTAAACACTGAAAAGCAATTCTATAATAAAAATGATTCATTTCTTACACAATATTGAAAATGTAGATTGTAGTTTAAAAATAATCAAATGAATGATTGAGAGACCTTTACATTAATTGACATTTTAAAATAGTTTAAATAACTGAATAATTCTTTCACGATCAATGAACGCCTTCCAAAAACAAACTAGACGTGGGCACCTTGTCAAAGCACGGACAGGGCAATTTTATAAATCATTTAAAGATAAACTAGGCTAATATTTGATATTTGAAATTAGTGATAATAGCTACACAGTCTCTTTGTAAATGTAAAATAAACATGTTTTTAGTACATACAGACTACATATGTTATGTTTTGAACTCTACACGCTATAGGTAAATACAGTATGAATACATAGCGTGGTTAAAAAGACTGGCAATGTTTTTTTTAGAAACGATCAACTTTACTTGACCCGTTATACAGAATGCAACTTTCAATACACTTTTTGAGTCTTCTATTATTCATATTAGACATATTCAGTATGAATTTTATGGATTTCAATAAATTTCAGCAAGAAAAATATTTCACTCAAAGATGAGCCTAGTACATCTTTAATATTGGATGTCATTGAAACTGACAAAGACATATAAAATAAATGATAAAAAGACAAATGGTAAGCTTTGGAAATCAACCAAACCATTTTTTAAAAAGGATTGGAAAATCTTAAGGCATCACCTTTAACAACTCAATATTGATGTTAATTTGAATATATTGTAGATACATTATTCAAAACACACGAAATCAATGTATCATACGAGATGTTAAGGAATTTTATAAACTTTTTGCATTTTTACAGTACCCTATATAATTTCCCTTTTAATAATTATATATGCACATGTAAATACATCGACCTTAATTGTCAAAAAAGGATACCCTTAAGAAAGCTCAAAACGGAAAAAAGTAAAAAATGTCGCAGACTCGGTTTGATTATGGGCAATTTCATAGACAATTAAATATAATTAATTATAGAAACCGCCAAAGACATATAAAAATCGACTTTGCAGGCTCAATCGAACCGAGCCTGCAACATTTTCAGTTTTGTTGTGTTGGTCTTTCTTTAGGGATTCTTATTTCTCTCTATTTTTGCATCTATTTAACATATAAAGCAAAATCTTTACTTTGAAAACCAGCACACATATGTTCATAAACGTTGTAATTATGTATTCATATTTCATGGACAAATGATATGTTTTCGTTTTCATCGCATGTTTAAGTAGCATTTAGTGATTTAACCTATTAATATCGTATATATGTCTTTTTTGTCTATTGTAAACAGATATAGTTATCAGAACGGTTAAATGTATTAAGGCGAAGAACATGATTATGTACCAGAACAAAGTGAATTTTCTTGGCAAACTAAATTCACTGATATGACGTAGAATAGTCGGTTAGACAGTTTACATCTGTCTCCTTTACTAATTTTTATTTATCCCTTCTGTTATTTTAGTAACATAATTTGAAAAAAAAGTCACTTCGTAAATGAAAATCAATTTAACTTTGTTAGTTTATATACATGTACGTTTATTTAAATGCAACTTATTCATTTACTGACAATGCACACTTTGACCTATAGAAAATGACAACAAAATGTTGGCAAATGCTAAATACTTGCACATATGTTTTTTAGAAAATGTCATAGAATTTACAAGTAATATGCTCCTATCTTTATCTTATATTGACAGAAGTAAAACTGATCATTCCATATATTTTAAAAGTCGACTTAATGTCCATTTCTTTTTACGAGTCTTTAATATATCAATCTTAACAAATTGATATTTCGACTTTAAGTCTATTTTTGTGCAATAAAATACCGGTATCCTGTAATACACATTATCCCTTATTTCGATTAGGATAGTTTCGTTTTCAGTCCTTTTATCGAATTTATTGTGCTTAAATAATAAAAGTGATCGGAAGAAGTTTAATAAAAAAAAACAATCATAATAAAAAACGACAAAAATGCTGTAGAAGTTGAAATTATAACACTACTAGTACAGAAGTGCACAATCAATTAGCTCCTAAAACATCAAAATAAAATCTTTAAAAAGCAGTGCAAATGCGCAACTTTTGTAAGAGATGTATTTTAATGTGCTATGATGTTGTTCACTTAATAACTTTATCATAAAGGAATAATACAAATTTTACAGATATTCTTTAAGCGAAACCTAATAGTACATTTTATCATAACTATGCATGTGTTTTTAAAGGAAACAAAAATATAGATTTTTTCAGTCAATCATAAATAAGTTTAAGTAGAAAAAAAATGATTTTGTTTTTTACTATTTCGTTAATTCGACTATGTTCAAGCGGAGAATACACCAAGGGTTTCATTCAGAAATTCATGTTTAAACAGTTAATTTGAAGCTGCAGATTTGTTCAGTCCATCTTCAGAACAATAATTAGCATTCACTTTGGTTTGATTCCATTGATTTATACAAGACTTTATTATTTCTATTTAGTGATATCTACAATTGCAAACTAGAAATTCTACAATTTCAATTTCTCTGTGAAGTGAGAGAAAACACACTTACATGAAAGAAAATATATGTACATTTATTTAATTATATATTGAATCATGAAATGCGAGTTAAACTACTTTTTACCTATCCACATGTCGCAGTCCACTCTTACGATATGGGAAAGGTGCTGCTTAGAGGTTCTGGGCTTGAGGGTTGCTATAAAAATACAGAAATACGCTCTCAGAAAATATTTATTATCGATGAATACGAAGTCTGGCTCGCGCCATGAAAATCTTCAGTAGGAGTGCAAAGACAAAATAATGACAAATGACACAAAATCATGAATGGCAAAATGTAGAATAACAAGTATGGGATCAATACAGACATTCATATTTACCTATAAAAATACAGAAATACGCTCTCAGAAAATATTTATTATCGATGAATACGAAGTCTGGCTCGCGCCATGAAAATCTTCAGTAGGAGTGCGCATGCGTGAAGGTACTTAGTGCGGAAATAGAATATTTAAGATTGAGGCCCGTACCAATGGTTAGTACATACTTGTTAATAAATGAATGAATGAAGAAATGAATGAATGAGTAAATGAATAAAAGGATGAATGTATGGAATATAGGATAAGGACACAAATATAGGACTTCACATAATCTACGGTGTACAATACGGGACATACATTTACAAATTATATCTAACATTAATACATCAATATGACCCTGCGACACACAAGATGTTAATAGATGAAATGCGAGTTCCTATCCACTTATATTAATATTTTCAGACTAGGAATCCAGTATTAGGGCGAATATTAACTTTGAGATAATACGCACTGATAATGTTTAAACTAATGATAAGTATGCTGTAGA